TTGAGGTAATTTTTGTGTATGGTGTGAGATAATGGTCTAACTTCATTTTTTTTTTTGCATGTGGCTATTGTCCATACTTGTTCACATAATAAAAAGCATGAAGACATGAACTCGTTGATGAACATCATGCAGTATTAATATGATTCTGTCCTATGAACTAGAAGCAACTTTCCTAACCAAAAAGAAAGGAAAAAAAGAAAAAAGACAATCATGTGTATATGTGTAATATAGCTAATAGCTGTTCAGGGATTTCCCCATTCCCCATTTTTGTTCAGTGAGTATCAATGGTACAACAAATTTTTTGGCATACCATGTTCTGGGAATTTTCTGTGAAGCTCCTAGCATATTTGTTATACTGCATACCTGTGGGCAGATTTGTTAAGTCCATAGGCTTTTGAAAGAAAGAAGAATATTGTTAAAAGAAAAATGAACCTAATCATAGATAACTAGGAAGTCCACAAAAGTGTTCAGGTCCAAAGTAGGGATTTGAACAAAAGAAAAAAGAGACTAAGTTGTATTTTGTGAAGGAGTCTTTAGACTCTTTTGTTATTGGTTTTCAATAATAAGACTTTATTGGAGTAAAAAAATGTATATATATAGACACAGTAGTTGGACTATCCAAAAGGAGCATTAGTCACTGACCTGGGTAGTCTTATTCATTGCCTGAATAAATTTTTATTTTTTTGAAGGAGTAAGTTTATATGAACATAAAAGGAAAATGCAATACATATACAGCACAACTAATAGTTGAAATGATTTTGAGAGATTTTAAACCAAAAATTCGAAATCATCTCAAAGTTGGGGAGAAACTTTTATCAAAATGTGGTATGCAACTTAAAACTGGAAAACAAAGACTAAGTGGATATACTCATTAAAAAAATCTCCTAAAAACTGTTACCTTTTTTCCTTCATTTAAATTTACTTCTAGAACTGTCAAATAATACCTAATCCTGAGTTGAGTTGTGTGTGAAATTTCATTGTGGTCATCATCTATCCCTTATGTAAAAATATCAAGTTCTGTTTGGTGCACCAAAAGTAGTAGAAGTAGAAAAAATTTTAGAGATGACCTCATCAGAGTCCACTAAGACAAAGAGAATAATTTTTCTAAAGTGACAGAGATTGTTGGTAGGATCCAGATAGTATCCATATCTTACATGGAGTCTGGCTAGTACCTTGAGAATTAAATTTATGACAAATAAAAGGAAATATAATTTTTGAGAGTAAAGAGTCTATCTGTCCAACTCCTTTCAAGACATACCACAGATTTTAGATATAGACAAATTCTTAGACAGCAGATGTAAAAATGGATAAGTAAGAAATGAGGTATGCTAAAGGATGTGACTAACTTCTGAGACTGACAATCAAGCAGGAAAATTATCCTTTCATAGTAGACACAATTCTGGGGTGACTGAATCATAAGTCTATGTGAGGATAGAAATGTGCCAATCTCTAATTCCAAAAGTAGGGGAGAACATAGGCTGGCATTAAGACACCCATTGTGGTTTTATATTCTGTTAACCACATGACTTTAGCAGAGCCATACAAATTTGAACTGACTTAAAGTATAACAGTCTTCAGGGTGAACATAATAACTAAAAGTTTCTACTAAATGGGAAGGTCTATAGAAGACAGAATCATTCATCTTGCATGGGGTAGGAAACAGCCTGGAAAGTGTCAGACAATGACTGTCAGACTTTTATCCCTAGAAATGTTGACAATTTCTACATTGATTGTGGTAAACGGAATGTGTTAGCAACTGATTGCATCACAGCATAATTGAAACAACATCATCTTTAGCATAATGGAGCAAATGTGAATGTGGGAGAAGTGTATGTGGGAGTGTTTTTCTAAATTTAAAATTTTACTCTCCTAACCCATGGGATGTGGCATGTTTTATCTAGACTATGTCTGTCAGTCTTGATGCGTATGTATTAATAGAACTTCATTACATGTGTAGGATGCTACCACCTAAAAAGACATAATTATAAAACTAATCATCTATGATACAAGGCAGTGTGCCTGTGGATGGTTGAGTTCCTAAAGCTAGTTGGTGAATTTTAGTGTATAATAGTAGGAATGTCCCAAAACCTAATCATAATTACCATACTTTCACTTCCATAAAACACCTTTCTGAATGTAATCTTGAACTATATAGACATTAGTTTTCTTATTACTTACCTCTCTTCCAAGATGGAATGGAAGGAATTCTCCAAACTCTTCATTAATATCTAAATTTTCCTGGCTAACTCTTCATTTAGAGTACAGCAATCCTAAAATGGTTGATTATTTTATATTACTTTGTAGATTTTTAATTTGTCTATGTTTGTGACAACATCTTCAGAAGAACTGAGTATAATGGAAGTTCTTCTTCAGAAGAACTGAGTATAATGGAAAAAGTCATGTTTCCAGATCTCCATCAACTTTATAAACCTTTAGGAAGGTTTATTCCTGGCTATGGGAGAACCCTGCACTGAAAAATTCCTGAGGGGTTCGGCATTTGCCACATTGTGACCTTGGGCAAATTATTTAACTTTTTCTGTCCTCAGTTTCCTCATCTGTGATAATTCATAGAATTGTTGAGGACTAAATGAACTAATATGTGTTTGAGTTGAATGATCCTATTTGTTTAGTCCTATTTTCGTAGGGCCAAAATAGTCAATTATTGGTGCTTCTTGCAGTTCACATGGTTCAACCTCAAATGAAAAGTAATGCTTAGAACAGTGCCTGGTACTTAGCAAACCCCATGCCAATGTTAACTTTGCCTTCCACTTTGTAAGAAAAGGCACTTTTTTTTTTCAGTGAATAGTGGTGTTTATTCACCTAAGAATGTGTTTTTACTTACAAAATCCAGTAACAAATGAGCCCTGTGTAAATGCACTCACTTTCCAATTTCAACTACTGAAGCTTGGCTAGGTATGTTAACTTCTTCTTACACCACTTTTAGCCACTGAAAGTTTGGGTTGAATCAGATGATCCTAAGACTCTTTCCAACTCTAATAAGCTGCAATTCTAAAATAAATTGTGTCTTCTCGACCAAATTTTAAGAAGCCAAGAGTCAAGTACAGTTGTCTCCACAGTCAGTTTTAACAAAGAGAACCATACCATAGAACAATTACCTAAATTAGCCACAGTCATATTTCGACTTGAGGTGTGAAATGTTTCAAAAATAATTAGCATTAACACAGCCACCAATATCCCTGAAACCAGAATAGTCACAACTGCAAAATAATTACATTTATCCATCTTTGTTTCATAATTATATTAATTCTGAACCTGAAAAATGTAGTTTCTTCTATAAGGAAAGTTACATGATTCTTACATCACTCAAATAGTAAAATTACTTAAAGTAGTTGCTGTGACCTTTAAAGATCATCTTCTAGTAAGCAAAGATGATCTTCTAGTATTTTCCATTGCAGTTTTTTCATACTTATACAAGGAAATCCTAAACCCATGTCACTATCAATTAGCAGAAACAACATAACATTATTGCCTGCTTTAGAAAATAGTAACTGGGGGATTTTAAAGGTAGTCATTTTCAAAATTATAAATTGGTTTTATGGAATGTAAGCTTAAGGATATGTTTGAACTGTTCTTAATGTTTTTGGAAGAAGTTCATGAAAAAGAAAAGATGTAGCTAGATATGACAGGAATATATACCCAAACTGACTATAAGAAAGACTGGTAATGGTAAATTCTTTAACAATAGAATATCGTCTAGTGTCTTATTGAGAAATTACCTCCTTCACAGATTCTTGCTTTTATACAGAAGCAATATAGAGTGTACTCTGCTTTTGCTTCTGTCTTTTGATTGAGAGAATTTATTTGTTTCTGGCATTCAAAGGACAGATTTTAATTTGGGATTTGATTATTATACAGTAGTCCCAGATTCTTCCTATGTTTTATACTCAAAAAATATGTCATTCAGTAAACATTAGTATTTTAGGCACTGTGCTGAATATTAGAAAAGACAAGGAAACGAGACACAGTTCCTGACATCAAAAAGCCATCCCCAGGATCAGGGTTGGAATAAAGGTTGGGGTAGGAATAAAGAAGAATAATGGAATGGGATGGAGATAAGTACCAAGTGCCAAGGACACAGAAGCAGAAGAGGACACTCACTGGAACTTTATGTGGGAGTGGCTAGTAGCAGTGGTGGCCAGCATAGTGCTAGAGAGTTCTCCAGAGTCACTTTCTGACTTACTGTGAAGGTGGATTTTGGCTGCAGTCTGGTTTGCAAGGCTGGAGAGCAGGCGAGCAGGAGGCCGCAGAGGGCTTGAGTACTATACAAAGGAATTTGCATTATATGAATATAAAAGTTATGAGGAGCCAATGAAGGATTTAAAAAAGTCACGTCAACATTTTCCACTCAAAATGATCACTCTGGCTACACTGCAAAGACTAGGTTGGAAAAGGTCCACACTAGAGGCAGGATGCCTCCCGGGGTGACTGCTTATGACTCCTGAGAGCCAAGTGGGTGGGAGCCACAGGGAGGGATGGCAGGACCTAAAGTTGGCAGTAGCAGTTATGGGCTAAGACATATATGAAAGATATTAAGGAGGGTTTGGTGGCAGAATACACGCATATTTTTATGATTTGTATTTTATTATACTGAGCCAATGTGTAAACTAAGCATTTTCTAGCTATCTGGTATGATGATTTGAAGAAACAAAATTTAAATAAAGTAAGATAATTGAATTTCAACCCTAGTGAGACCTTTTTATTGTAGTTATCCTGTTGTAATAGATTTGGTTGCCACAGTTTCTCTTAATAAGACTGTATTTTATTGTATGCTTTCTTATTCTAATTAAACTATGTCTCTTTAGTACATGACATATCAAGATACTGGAAAACATTTAAAAACTGTCTTCCCAGGTTTCATCTAATCTACATACATCTAATTTCTTTCAGTCTTCTACAACTTTTCTGACTCTGTTTTTATGGCTCTTGCCCATCTCTGCTGTTTCTGCTTATATTTTTTTCTGGAACTTCTTTCCCTCCAGGATTTGGGGGCTCATTCATGGCCCCTTCTCCATCACCAGTGACTCCAGCTCAGAATAACCTGCTACAGCCCAATTTTGAGGCAGCTTTTGGAACAACGCCTTCAACTTCAAGCAGCAGCTCCTTTGATCCATCAGGTGAGGCAGTGATTTTTAAACATGCTTTTTATTTCTCCTGATCATGAATTATACCACCTACAGTTAGTATCATATCAGGAAATTCTAAACAAATATGGAATGATAATATGATTTTAAAACTGTTTAATAAGCCCCTTTTTCTGTAACTTAAGTAAATTTTCTAAGTAGATTTGAGTAGATTTGAGAAATACCTATAATCCTTTTCTGCGTTTCTGTTTTTAATTTCTAGCAGAAATCTAACAGCACACACCATCTGTTTGCATGAGCTTATATACACTGATTTCGAGTTGGTTAAGGGAAAACAAATACTCCGTACTATATCTTTGTACAATATCTGAATGCGTGGACATCCCCACTGCTGTTGCTTACACCCTCTGAAGCTTGCATGGCCCTCAGTTTTAAGAAGTTGAGACACAAATAGTATTCTTTGCCTGCCTTTAACCTTTCATCCTGCTGTCATTTTGTTTGTATTCTCTTCCATTCTACTCTTCTCATGCTGGGTCCTTACTACAAATTTTCAATTGGTGAGTTTTTGGCAATTAAATGTGTTTCAGAAACACCCTAAATATATCCCTTGCCTGACAATTTGGTTGCTTCTACTGCCAGTGCCTAATTGAATGCTGTCCTTTTTCAATTTAAAATTAATTTATGGTAGTATTCATGGTAAATATGCATAGATTTTTAATGAAAATTAACCATAAATTTTTGATGTAGATAAGATATTAGCAATAATTTATACAGATCTAATATGTCTGCATTTTAATGGTCTTCAGTCTAGGAATTAAATAAGTAGTGATTTGTAATAGGGTAGTCTGGAATCATCAGTAATAGTGTGATTCATAACAGTTACAAGAGTGTTTACTTTGTATGCCCTTCATTTACTCTGCCCTTGAAGTTAGAACTAAAAATTAATTGCTATAAAGAAAGAAAAAAATCAAAATACTTACACCTAAGAGTTGGTCAGCTGTTTTTCACACAGCTAGTTCTAGCTACTCATCATTAGATTAAGTTTTGTTCTGATACTGATTTTGTGGGAAACTGGGAAATTCAGGCTTCCTTTCTCAATTAATAATTATTTTAGAAGTAAACATCCTAGGGTCTCAGAGTAGATTGTTCAAACTTTGCTGTAAATCACTCGCATTTTATACAAAATGTTTTAGTGATTGTTTTTAATAAAAGTTAGGTTTTACCACTCATTGAGTGCCAATGTAGAGCAAGCATTATAATAAAGATATAGTATATATCATCTAATTTAATCTTCAAAACAAAGCCATGTAGTAGTGGTACTCTCCCTATATACAGATGCAAAAACTAAAGCTCAGACAGTAACTTTATCAAAGTTCCACAGATAGTGAGAGAGACAGCTAAACTTGATCCCAATTCTGATTCCAAAATCTGTGCTCTTTTCTATACATTACACAGATTTTTTTCATTTTTGTTCATGTTCATTAATATTTCCATACTTTATAAGTAGGCATATAGAGAGATGCTCTTCTTGGTATTACAGTTATGAAAAGGGTCAATTTCATGTCTCCTTTTATAAGATTATATATTAACTTGTTTCCTAGTTTTTCAAAAGACATGTAGTCTTTTGCATATTGTTTTTTTTTTTTTTATGCTGATCTTGATCTATTTGATTTCCAGTGTTTGATGGTCTAGGTGATCTTCTGATGCCAACCATGGCACCAACTGGGCAGCCTGCACCCATCTCAATGGTACCACCCAGTCCTGCAATGGCAGCAAGCAAACCACTTGGGAGTGATCTTGACTCATCTCTTGCCAGCTTAGTAGGCAGTGAGTAACATAGCTTCATTTAACTAAATCATACATGATTTTTTTTCATTAATCTCTCATATTTTGTTTCTGAATTCACTTATGGGTGAGTATATCAAGGAGTAAATAGAGATTCTTAGTGTACGCAGCACAAGTCCTTGAAAGATTTTTTAAAAAGTCACTATGCTATTGTCTTACAAGTAGTACCCATGCCATTTTCAATCTGAATTGCTGAAAATGTAATTAGAGAGCATATAATATGAAATAAAGTGCTTATGTTTTAGAAGTAATTTTTCATTTCATTTGGAAATAAGAATATAGAAAACCCAGAAATAAACCCACAGATCTATGGTCAATTAATATTTGACAAAGGAGCAAGGAATATGCACTGGAGCAAAGAAAGTTTGTTCAATAAATGGTGCTGGTAAAACTGGGTCGCTTCATGAAAAAGAATGAAGCTTGACTACTACCTCACACCATGCACAAAAACCAACTCAAAGTGGATTAAAGAACTAGACATAAGACCTGAAACCATGAAATATATAGAAGGAAATAAAGGCGAAACACTACATGACATGCACCTCAAAGACATCTTTACAGATGCATCACCCAAAGCAGTGATAGTGAAGGCAAAGATAAACAGGTGGGACTACATCAAATTAAAGAGCTTCTGCACAGCAAAAGAGACAATAACCAAAACAAATAGAAACCCCACCAACTGGGAGAACATTTTTGCACACAACACTAATGATAAAGGACTGATCACAAAAATCTACAAAGAACTGATGAGACTCAACAAAAACAAAGAAAATAATCCAGTCAAAAAATGGGCAGAAGAGCTAAAAATAAACTTCTCCAAAGAGGAAATACAAATGGCCACCAGGCATATGAAAAAATGTTCAACGTCACTTGCAATCAGGGAAATGCAAATCAAAACTACAATGAGATACCATCTCACACCAGTGAGAATGGCACATATTAAAAAAACTAGCAACAACAAATGTTGGTGAGGATATGGAGAGAAAGGAACTCTTCTGCACTGCTGGTGGGAGAGCAAACTGGTCCAACCACTATGGAAAGCTGTGTGGAGATTCCTCAACCTACTAAAGATAGAGCTTCCATATGATCCAGCAATTCCACTCCTAGGTATTTACCCAAAGGACACAGAAACATCAATTCCAAAGAGCACCTGCACTCCTGTGTTTATAGCAGCACAATTTACAATAGCTAAGCTTTGGAAACAACCCAAATGCCAAAAACAGATGACTGGGTCAAGAAGATGTGGTACATATGCGCAGTGGAATATTACTCAGCATTCAAAAAAGATAAACGCATGCAATTTGCAGCAACATGGATGGAGCTGGAAGGGATCATGCTCAGCAAAATAAGCCAGAAAGAAAAAGAAAAATACCGGATGGTCTCACTCATAACAGGAATCTAGAAAACCTAAATAAGGGACCAGGAAAAAGAGTAACTATAAGAAAGAAAAAAACCAAAATCAACAAACAACTATGACAGAGACACACTTTGGGGGGTGCAGGGAAAGGAGGAATTGGGTCAAAATCAGGGGGTTGCAATTGTATGGGGAATATAAAAATAAAAAATTTAAAAAAAAAGAATATAGAATAATATAGATGCAGAATATTCACCAAGTGAGCTTCAGTTATTCATTCAACAAACATTCATTGAGTACCAGGCATTCTTCCAACTCTAGAGATAAATCATTGAACTAAGCACATACAAATTTATTTTCCTGTGGAGTTCAGGAAGGACAGAAACAAAACAGTAAATATTTTAAATAAATTAAATTCTATAGTACATCAGGTTTTAAGTGCCATAGGGAAAACCAGAATAAGCAAAAGAGAGTTGTAAATGCTACAGAGTGAGAGATAGAGTAGATATCACTGAGATGGTAAAATTTGAGCAGAGATTTGAAGACAAAGGGATGAACCAGGTTAATATCTGAGGGAGAACATTTGCAAGCAAAGGAGATAGCCAGTGTAAAAGTATTGAGGCAAAAGATTATCTGGTATATTCAAGAGACATCAAGAAGACTAGAGACTGGGGCTGGGTAAGTGAAGGAAAGAGTTATAGAAGGTAAGGACTACTATTAGATTGCCCTTTTAATTCTGAATTTTATTTTTTATTATGGTGAATGAATTTCCTATTGCAAAAACTTTTTGTTTTACTTGAGGTTCTATCAAAAATTTAGAAGATCATGGAAACAGACTTTTTTTTCTCCTATGTACTATCCCATGGACATATTTCTGTTTGCTGTTTATTGTCCTTGGTCTGGTCATCCATGAAGATGGTTTAGTGACACTTGGCAAGAGTTTATTGAAATATTGCTTTCTACACTAAAATTTCATTTCACTTATGAATAGTCTAAAAGTGAGGACTGCTTTTACTGGACACTTTAATGTAGTGCCCAGATCCTCCTTCAGAAGTAGCGGCTTTATACCTCCAGCTGCTAAGGGATACAGTAAGGGAGTTGTGGCCAGGTTGGTGACCATACTAGGTAGCTTAAATTGTTGGCCAGGCATTGACTAAGCAGGCATAGAGACCTTCCAAAGGGTATTGTATTTAGTGGTAGGGAGTACATAACTACTTGCATATGCATTCTCAGTTTGTTGGATTCAGTTATGGAAAATCTGGCTGCCAGCAGGCAATCTCCCTCCTAGGAGATCTGAGAGAGAGACCAGCTGGGGACGATACACCAAGAAAGACCTACACACCTCACCAAGCACCGCACTCCATTCCAAAACCCACATGCTCTGCTCTAGGGTCCATGCCAAGCCCATTTGCCTGATGCCACTCATCTTAAACAAGAGCAACAAGGATGCAGGGTTCTGAAATTTGGGCTCCTTAAAGTAATGAATGGCATTTGCTTCACTAAACAAGGGAAGAAGAGGGAGAGAATATTGCTCTGACTGAGTTAACCCTCCCTCCCCACCAGATTGATACTAATCTCTAGATTCTAGTTTTCACTTCTTTCTTAAGCAAAGATACAGTGCCCCGGCTAGAATAAGTCATTATATATACCTAGGAATCAAAAGCATCAGAGGACAAGAAGGAAAAGCTGATAGAAAAGAAGTCCTTACACCTGAGGGGAGAAATCAAATACTATTCAAAAATGAACAACAATGTAAGAAAATTAGAAAGTTAATAATAAAAAAAAGAAGTCCAGAGACCTATGAAAAGGACACACATCTCAAAGACCTAAGGCAAAAACTAGAATAACAATATTAAGAAAATGCAATGAAATCCTGGAGGGACAGGCTAACAGAAAAGCAGGTACAAGATCTCAGAAAACGTACCCAGGAACAAAAAGAGTTCTTCACTAAAGAACTAATTGAAGATTTTAAAAAATGCCAAAAGATACACTGAGTGAAATAAGAACAAACATGGAAAACATATTGAATAGAATTAAGCTAAAATAAAAAATTATTTGGGGATCAGCTAGCTACCAGATCCTATATGATAAAGATGGTATTAAGAGGGAAGTACAAAGCAAGACAAGCCACCATCAATAAATAAGGAAAATCTCAAATAGAATGACTTTATATATGAAGGAACTGGAAAAAGAAGAGCAAATGAAATGAATGGTAAGTGGTAGGCAGGAAATAATATTAATTAGAGTGAAAATAAGTAGATACCAAAAATATAATGTAAAATGTCAATGAAACCAAGAGCTGTTTCTTAGAAAGAAAAAACAAAATTGATAAAACATTAGCAAGGTTCTCTAAGAAATAAGAAAGAAAACCTAAATAAAAAGAATCTGAAATGAAAGAGGCCAAATTATAACAGAGATTGCAGAGATATTCAGGATTATAAGAGACTTATATGAACACCTATCTGCAAACAAACAGGACAACCTAGAAGAAATTGGGAAATTTTTAGAATCATATAGTCTTCCAAGATTGAGCCAGGATAAAAGAAGCAGTTTTATCAGACCAATCTCAAGCACAGAAATTGAAAAAGTAATTAAAAGTCTCCCTAAAAACAAAAGCTCAGGACCAGGTAGTTTCACTACTGAATTCTACCAAACCTTCAAAGAAGCTCTAATACTGTCTTTCTCATATTCTTCAAAAAAAAAACTGAGGAGGAGGAAAAGCTCCCAAATATATGTCATGAGGACATTACCTTCATCCCAAACCAAACAAGCACAGCAGAAAATAAAGAAATCTATAGACTGATATCTCTGATGAACATAGATGCAAAAATCCTCAACAAAATCTTGGCAAATTGAACCCAGCACTACATTAAGAGGGGCAGGTACTATGGAAAGTTGATTGGCAATGTCTGAAAATGTTAAACATGGAATTACCATTAGGCAGATACTGCACTGTGTGACTCAGCCTAGAAAACTCTACTCCAAGATCTCTGCTCTTCTTTGCACAAGTCTCACTTCTTGAGGCAGTCCATGAGCTACCTGTTTAATACTGCCTGCCCCCCCACCTTGATTCTAACCCTCTACATCCCCTTTACCATACTCTTCCTTTTCATTTTTCCATAGGCTTTCCAAATGGCTTTCTAACAACCTATATAATTTATTTTTTAATTATTTTAATGTTTATTATCATCTCACCCAATTATAATTCAAGTTCCTCCAGAATAAGAATCCTTGTTTTCCTCTTTAATATGTTCCCATGCTTAGAAAAGTACCCAGTGTATGTAGGAGCTCAATAAATAACTAATGAAGTTAAATGAAATGAAATTAGAGCAGAATGATTAAGCCAGTTATATCAGGAGTCCCAAGACCACTCTCATATTTGTGGATTTACTAGAACGTGACAGCGCGTCATTGTACTCACAGCTAAAATCTGTTACAGCAGCTTAGGAAGGAAACATACTGGATCACTAGAAAAAGAAGGAGAAAATCTGGAAGAATCCACATGCAGACTTGCTTAAGCTGTCTTTTCCCTGTGAATGGAAAACCATGTGAAAATTCAGCAACATGTGAAATATTTCTTGCCAACAGTTCATTAGGGACTCAATGTTTTTATTGGATGCTCTTCCTCTACGTACCCTGTGCCTGCTGTCCACCAAAATCCCAGTCTTTCAGATGGGAAGCATGTAGTCAACATAAGCTACATATTTGTGCAGTGTACAGTGGTAAGCCACTCTACAGCAGAACAAGTTTTATCTGGGTGTAGAGAAGAGTTTATTGGCCATGTTCATATATGTCTTCCATGCAGGCTTTTCTAGGATAATAGTCTCAAATCTACCATGTTCAATCCTTTTGGACACCAGTTGACTTTCAGATGTAATCCGTAAGTCTAACATAAAGTAAAACAAAGTTTTAGAGTTGTGAACATGTTTCCTCATAAAGTTTCTGTTTTATATAACTGGATGCAGTCATTCCTAACAAAATAGGCACTTTTTGTAGGCCTCTGTTTCTTTGATAATCAAAATGATAAAAGCTTAATTATCTTTCTTTGATCCATTTATAGATCTTGGAATTTCTGGTACCACATCCAAAAAGTAAGTGTTTTGAAATGATCTGTATTTCTTGTCACTATTTATTGTATTTATTTGAAACTATCAAGTATTATACACATTGGAGTAATCTTTCATTTTCAGCCTGGGAAATTTGAAAATTGGTTTTTACTTCATTCTGGATTTGTTATTGTTGTTTGTTTTCCTGGAACCTTCAACTGTTGCTCTGCAATGAAAGGAGTAATCTGTTTCAGACTCTTCTATTGTCACTGAGTTATATCTAAAAATATGGGAGAATTGCATTTTGAATATTTTACTAATCTTAAATTCTGATGCATTTACTGCAATATTTCTAGCTAACACAGATGCATATGTGTGTGTGTGTGTTGTATATTGCTTATCTAATCATCACTTCAACATGATGGGGGAAAGATGGAACAACTAGGTTGTCTGCTATAATACCAAAGAGTAAAAACCACATCAGAAACTTTTAGGGTTTAGATATTAAAGTTCACAAAAGTTAGTTTCATTTATCCAGATGATTTTTTAATTTCACACACTTCAGTCTTATTTAATGCCTGAACATAAGGAGACAGAACAAGAATGGAAGAGTGCTTATTTTTTCATCTCTGTATGAAAAAATAGTAAATGTTGACTAAGGCTTAATGTTCTCACCCCATTTACTTCCTTTATCTTTAAGATCTTTTGAATAGTTTCTAAACCTTTTCAGAGCATGTTCACCTTTGAGGGGATTCCCACTTCTCAATGAACAAAAATAATTTTCATTTCACATTGCCCCCAAGTAGGGACCTGATTTGTGAGTTACATTGAGATGTGTAAAGATGAATTAGTAACCCCACTATAGCCACACATTTAAGCCTTACCCCCCCATCCATGTCTGACTGCTGGGTCTGTCCCTCAATTGATTCCAAAGTAGGGAGAAAAAAAGAGTATTATCTATTGATCTGCCAAAACCATACAGTATTTACAAAGCAAAATGCCAGAACATTAGTGTATGATTTAAGGACATTTCAAGATTATAATTAAGCATTATAAATCTATATAAGTAATATAAAGTAATGCTTTATAAGTGCACTCATTGGATTTGATAACCATTTTTTTAAAGATTTATTTATGTATACAAGAGCTGGGGTACAGGCCAGAGGTTTGAGGGGTGAGAGTATTCATCAGAGACAGAGTGGGGAACAAAACAGGCAGATCGACTGAAATACACTGCTGAGGGGAGCAGCGGGCGAGTCAGGAGAGGTCTGCTGTGCCATATGGGTTGCTCCCTGGCCAAGGATCGAACTCATGCTGCAGTGGCTGTGGACAGCTTCTTAGGTTGTGTCTTAACCCCTTGCACCACCAGAGAGGCCTGGATTTGATAACCGTTTATTGAATACCTACTATATCCTAGGCACCAAGCATATAAGAATGAAAAAAACACAATCCCTCTAACTCAGGAGCTTCAAGTCTAGTAAGAGTTATTAATCAATTATCAAATAACAAAAAAAAGTAACACTTCAGTGTTAAAGAGGACTGTTACAAGGTGCTATAAAAGTACGTAGCAGGGAAACCTAAGGTAGTCAAAGTTGAGGTGCTACCACTGGTTTTTAGGAATCTCTCATAGAACGTAGATGTTAAGATGTTATTTTTCATTCTTATGAATGAAAAATAATGTACCCTTTTTTAGATATGTATTTCTTTGTCTCTGCAATTGGAATGCATTTTATGATAGATGGGACTTCTGGTCATGATAAGGCAGGTTGTAGTCATGATATAGGTATATGAAACCATCTGTTTTGATCCATAAAGTGCCATTATGGATGTTTCTTAAACAAAATCAATGTGTTTGTGATTTTCTTACTTGGAATTTTTGTGACTACTAAGGAATTCAGTTGAATTTGGTGGCACCTTTTTCTATTAGAAGAGAGGGGAAATTCCCATTATTATCAAGGTCCAAAATATAAGTGATTTTTCAAATGCTTTTAACATCTGAGATACAGAATTGCAAGACTCATTTCTGTTCTATCCTGTTCTCTTTATTACCACTTGACTCAAACAGACTACTTTCAACCTAAATGAAATTATCTTAGGAGCCATCCACCGTTCTTTTCTGATGAGAGTGTTGTCTTTGTTTTGCATGCTTGATTTTAGGGGCGATCTTCAGTGGAATGCTGGGGAGAAAAAGTTGACTGGAGGAGCCAACTGGCAGCCAAAAGTAGCCCCAGCAACCTGGTCAGCGGGTGTCCCACCAAGCACGCCTTTGGTATGTACATGGCACTTTGCCAGTTTCCAAGTGAATAGACCAGGGTGCATTTTGCTTACTTTTGCTATTAACAGTGCATTTTTTCATCCACATTGAGGAAATATAAGGGAGATGTAATATTTATCAAAATGTTAATTCCATTGACTTTATCTTTAATAAAAGTTATGATGTATTTTTTAATTATCCATTTCTTATAGATTGTGCAGGTTTTTTGCATAGAGATCTCTGTAGTAGCTTTTGTTTTTTTTTTTTTCCTTTTTTTTTTGATATATATTTTCTACATGGATGGAGCTGGAAGGGATTATGCTCAGTGAAATAAATCAAAAGGAAAAGGAAAAATATCAACATTTATCATCTGTTTTTAAATTTCATTTTCAAAATAGTATATATATACTTCTTCAGATATGAGTTCTTTATTTGTACAACTGTGGAAATGATTTTTCCAAAATGTCTGTGTTTTATTATTTCTTTCCCACACTTCCTGATTTTCTTAATAAGTAATTAAAATTTTTTTTCTTACCAGAAAGATTGGGCATTTTTCTATTGTGTAAGTGAATTCTCATTTTAAAACTCTATTAATTCTGCCCACCATTTTTAAAATTGAAACTACTAACACCATCTTTATCTATAAGATCTGAATAGGTTTCATTTCTATATCTTAAAATTCTACTAATATATTAATATCACCATTCACTCTGTGAAACAGCATATCACTATAAATAAAGACTAACTTTTTTTTTTATTTATCACCACAAGAAGGATACTTCTAGGGCAGCAAAATGTAGTGTTTTCCTGTACTTACCCCATATTTAGCCAGGCACTTTTCAAAGCTTACTCTTAACCTTTCACCTTTCCTTGCCACTTTCACCTCTCTGAGCCACACTTCTCCCTAAGGATATCTTGATTCCTTCCTCTCCTTGCTGCCTGAATTCATTCTCAAACATCACCCAACAATGCCAGCCAGTCAAACATGCATGGAAGTTAATGAATATCGATTAGAATATAAATGTTTTAGACTCCATTAAATACTATATTCTAGAATTAATTTAAATATCTGAGTTTGGAAATTTAGAACACGTTTTCATTTAAGCAATTTTTCTCAACAGTAATGTTCTTATATATAAACAATTTTATAAGTATTAGAAACAAGAAATAAGTTCAAAACAATCTGAAAAGGGCCCCTTGAACAAAAGTGTTCCACTAAGCAGTACTAATAGCATTACATGAATTAAAATTGATACCATAATTCCTAGGAGAAAAGAGATTCTATACCCAGATTTAGGTTCTCAAAATCTGGTCCCTCTAATCTCCCCACCCTGTGCTGTTAGTAAGAGAGCAAAAAATAGGAGGTCAAATATTCTCTGCCTCTGATGAATTCTCTTCCTCTGATGATGATGAAGTCTGGAAGAACTTAATTTTAGGAAGTGATTCTAGCAGATAACAGAGACAATAACTTATTGTATCTAAATATTTAATTTCCTTAATCTTTCTCTCATTACTTAAAAATGATGTTTAAAAAGGTCATGTTTAATGTTTCTCTAAAGAGTTCCTTTTTAATTTTTGCAAAGCATATTTAATAGAAAACCACGTATCTCTTTCAAATTGACCTGTGCCTAAGGAGACTATTTATTTTCCAATTCAGGACTCATTTTAAGGGCACTATAATTATTACTTTGGGACCCCAAGCATTGAACTTTGGCTGGTGGCCTGTATGCTGAGATGATAAGCAGGCAGCACTCTGGGCCTAGGGGCTGCATTCCATTCTTAGATACAAGAACACGAGAGAACCACTCTCTTGTTGTGGGTGGAAGGAGATTTAATAAATGTAAATGCAATTCCTAAAGAAAGAGTTTCTTTAGAACTTATCTTACAAATATATTAATACTCCATATTGACTTTAAATCTCACAGTTTGAATTACATTTCCAAATTAAAGGAATCAACTTTACAATTTTCTTCTATGCAAAAATAGAGAGAGTTCTTGTGGTGTTGCTCTGAGGAGTTTATGCTTTGGTGGTGTGGCCTTCAGCAGGATAAAGCTTTTAATTGTGTAGGGTTTTTTAATAGTTTCAGAATTGTGAGAGTCGAAGATGGAGTGAAGGAGAGTAGGAATACTGATATTTGGCCATCAACTGTGGGTTTAAGAAATATGAACAAAAATGATGGAGAGCAGAAAGGAAGAGAAGAAAGAACAATCTCAGGTAGAATCCATGCCATGGAGAGCTTTGTAGGCAAAGCCACCAATAGCCTGTGCCAGGCTTCTGTGTGGGGCAGTTTCCTAAATAATGAAGCCATTAACCAAGAAAGGGAACAAGGGAGAGCACTTTAAAAATGATGTTAAATTGAGGCCTTCCTTGGCCATCATCCATCCTGAGATCAAGAGTGTTTTCGTTTTGTTTTGTTTTGTTTTGTGTAGAAGAGTTGGGGTGTAGGCCAGAGGCGGGAGTTGAGAGGATTCACCAGAGACAGAGTGGGGAGCAGAACAGGCAGATCTGCTGAAATACACTGCTGAGGGGAGCAGCAGGAGAGACAGGAGAGGTCTGCTATGCCATGAGTGTCAGCTCTCTGACCAGGGATTGGACTCAGGCCCTGGTGGTGATAGCACTGAGACTTAACCGTTAGGCCACCAAGGAGGTCCCTGAGCTAAAGAGTTTAACCACACACATTTAACTTAACTATTCTTGATAGTGCTCTTTGAGGCAGTGAAGTTATTAATTTTTATAAACTCCAACTTACTCTTTTTTCTTTTGTTGCTTGTGTGTTTGATACCATATTTAAGAAATCATTACCTAACCCAGTGTTGAAGATTTACTACACCTTTGTTTCTTTGTAAGAGTTTTATATTTTCATCTCTTACATTAGGTATTTGATCTGTTTTTAAGCTCATTTTCATGTATAGTGTTAGAAAGAATCCAAATTTGTTGTTTTGCATGTGGAAATCCAATTGTTCCAGACCCTTTTGTTGAAAAGGACTATGTTTTCTTCACTTGTTGAGCTTGGCGTCCTTGTCAGCAGTCAATTGACCATAGAGATATGGATTTATTTCCAAGTGATATTTTGTCCTTTAGATCTATATGTGTGTCCTTATGCTAGTACCACACTGTCTTGATAAATATAGCCTAGTTTTGAAACAAGGAAATGTGAGTTCTCCAAATTTTGTTCTTTTTCGATACTGGTTTGGCTATTTGTAAGGCATTCTTGGTACCTTGTATTTCCATATAAATTTTATGTTCAGACTATCTTTCTCCAAAAGAAGCATTTGAAGTTTTGATAGGAATTACACTGAACCTATAAGGCAACGTGGGAAGTATTGCCATCTTAACAATATTAGATTTTCCAATCTATGAACACAGGCTTTCTTTCTACTTATCTAACTTGTCTTTGATTTCCTTCAGCAGTGTTTTATAGTTGTCAGTGCACATTTTACTTGTTATATTTATTTCTAAATATTTTATTATTTTTGATGCTATTGTAAAAGAAATTGTTTTGTAGTTTTTTTGATTGTTCATTGCTAGTATGATATGAAAATCACTCACTGATTTTTGTATATTGATTTGGTATCCTACAACTTTGCTGTTCCTATTAACTGGTAGTTCTTGGTTTCATTCGTTTTTTAACTGATAGTTTGTGTATGTAGATTATTTAGGGTTTTCTAAAAATAAATTTTTTTCAAACACAATAAAGATAGGATTTTTCCCCATTCTTATTCTGGATACCACCTTCATCTTTTTTCTTACCTACTTAAGCTGATTAGAAATTCTAGTACATTTTTGTTTCATTCTTATGGTTAAAGTTTTCAGTCATTCAGTGTTAAGTAAGATTTTAGCCATGAAAAACTTCTCTATTCCAAGCTTGATGAGCATTTTTTATTGCTTTTTGTTTTGTCATGAAAGGGTGCTGGATTTTGTCAAATGCCTCATTTGTTGCATCTATTGAAATGATTGGTTTTTTTATGTTTCTTAATAAAATGTATTACATTGATTGAGGCAACATTGTATTGGTGGGATAAAACTCACTTGATCATGGTGTATAAATTCTTTCAATATGCTGCAAATTCTGTATGCTAATGTCTTCTGATGACTTTGGTATCACAGTAACACAGGCATCAAAAAATGACTAGGAACATTCTTTATTTTTTTGAGAAATTGATATTTAGCAAAAGTTACCATTTATGCTATCAGGCTTTGAGCTATTTTGTGATGGGAGTTTTTTTAATTTCTAACTTATTCTCTTTATTTTTTACATATCTGTTTAGATTTTCTGTTTCTTCTTGAGCAATCTTGATAGTTTATGTCTTTGTATAAATTTGACTTGCATTTTAATCATTTAATGACTTTGGCATATGACTTCTCATAGTATTTCCTTAAAATCCTTTTTTGTTTCTGTAAGGTTAATTGTAAAGTCCCTAATCTCTTTCCTTATTTAAGTCATTTAAATTTCTTTCTTTTTATCCTGGTATATTTACTTCAGTAAATTTGTTACTTTTATTGATTTTTTTCATAGAATCAATATATAGTTTTTTATATCCTCTTTCGTTTTTTCATACTTGACTTCATTTATTTCCACTCTAATATTTATTATTTCTTTTTTTTTTTTTTAAATATTAAATTTTATTTTTATATTCCCCCATACAATTGCAAACGCCCCATTCTGACCCCAATCATGCTTCCTATGCTTGCTTTGGGTTTCGATTTTTCTGTATTTCTGTTCCCTTAAGGTGGACTTTTAGCTTATTATTCCTAGATCTTTCTCCTCCCAGTGGGCATACATTTTTATTTCTTTGTATATCTCATATTTTTTGTTGAAACCTGCGCATTTTGAATTTGAATTATAATGTGGCAACTGTGGACATCAGACCTCTCCGAAAGTTTGTTGTTGTTTGGTTTTGGGTTTTTGTTTGTTTGTTTTTAGTGACCATCCAAAATTAATTCTGTAAAGTCTGTGTTCTTTGTCATGTGTTACCATTGATGCCTCTATTCCTTTAGGTACATGCTCAGCTAATGTTAGACAGTTTTTCTTAATCTCCTAGAAAAAATATCTCCCAGTCTTTACAGAAGGAGTCTGTATATGTGTTGGGACATGTCTTCAAATGCAGTCAGGCTGTTTGCAATTGCCTTAGTGATCATTACTGCCTGTTCTAAGTCTCAAGGTCAGCCTCAAGGTCATATCTTTCCTGAGCATGTGCACAGCCCTGGGAATGTGCATGGACTTCTAAATTCCCAGGATGTCTTGAGCTTTTCAAACCCTTAATCCCCAGAGCATCTCATTCTCCAAGCTCTTTCCTCCCAAACTCTTTGTTTAGTCTCATGTTTGCCTTGACCATTATCCACTGCCTCCTACAACAACAACTAAATCACTTGTCTGTAAATATTTTCCATGGATTGCTTCAGGTAAAGCTTTAGCACTAGGTGCATTTCAAGTTTGATGAAACAGAGACAAGCATTTTGAGCCATCTTTCCAGGGAACCACACAGACCAAAAAAAAAAAAAAAAAATTCCATCTATTTTCTCTGCTTCTATACTGGAAAGTGCACTGTTAGTCTCAAGGGGACAGCTGATCTATAGAACAATGGCTAGCTGTAGGGTAAGTTAAAATGCCACAAAGCTCACAATTTGTACCAAGATTCGGCTGATTTGCTTTTATAAATACTTTCTGGCTGCTAAAAGATGTTGGTTGGTTTTTAGAGTCCCAAAAGATTTGTTTTTAATAGTGGTTGCATGTTTTCCATAGTTTTTGTGGACTGGGGGGACTCCTGGAGTTCCTCACTCCACCATTTTGCTGGCATCACTATAATATTTTTTTCAACTAGGATTTTGCTCTTATTGTTAACGGTTAATTTAAAGTAGGGTTAATTTTAAATGTAAGGGAAATATTTGGAGATTTTAGAGGATGACTAAAAACTATCAGGCCTCTTTACCTGAGATAAGGTGCATATGTATTGTGTGCCATCTTCTAAACTTAGAAATAATTTTCAACTTTGTACAAAAGAACAAAAGTGAAAAAGTCAAAGAAAAGCAAGTATAGCACAGAAAAGAATAATGAAAACTTGGGGGAGAAATGGAAACCAAACATTTAAAATGTAAATGGAAGCATATTCTTCAAATGTCTAATACAGTATCTGTCAGAGTATATAATCATAAGAAAAGATGATTAGTTTGATTGTTTACCTTGAGGGTGGGTGTAAGGAGAGTGGATATAAGAAAGGAAGCCCAATGCTGTGCATAAAATGCAAGCCAGTGAGTCGAAACAGCACCACAAGAGTGAACATCAACTCAGTGACCTTGTTCTATCATTGGCAATGGTGCTAGAGCTATTTTTATTTAAAACTGGGTTTTGCAATTTCTTCACCTTTCCATGCACACTTACAATGCATGTGCTTAACAGTTATAATATTTCATTTAAAAACCAAATTATGTTGGTTCTTTTGTTTGTTTGCTGTTTTATGTGTGTGTGTGGTATGTGTGGTGTTTTTGTTTTTGATAGCAAGGAGCTGTACCTCCAACGAGCTCAGTTCCTCCTGTTGCCGGGGCCCCATCTGTCGGACAACCTGGAGCAGGGTTTGGAATGGTGAGTGATAACCTGTATTAAAAACTTTAATTGACATTTCTTAGGCATTTGCCAAATTCAGGTTAACAGATATTGCTATGGAACCCAATTCTTCCCAAAATGCAGTAAAGTAAATCTTAAAAGTTTAGCCGCCTTTCTGCCTTACACTTAAATAGTCTACACGGTAAATGATAAAGTCAGTTATAAAATATTTAAAACAAATTCTGCCTTCAAAATTTCCATATTACCTGGTTATGGAGTAATATTTGCCAGATATTTTCTTAGCTCAGTCATCAAAATTTTATCAATAGATAAGTAGTCACTTATCACATTTATCACTAGCAAATTTTCAGGCCATCTTCCATAAAGAAGCAAGTTTTCCTCTCTTCAGGAACTATGCTTAGCTGAAGACAAACAACACAGAGGCCTGCTTGAGATGAGGATACATGTGACCTGCCAGGCTGCCACTGCACCTCAGTGTTTCACTGCTACCTGCCAGCCTCACAGTACCCATGGTTCAAAATTAAAAGTTGCACTTTTTCACAGACATGAATTCCCCAAAAATTATCAAAAGTATTTTCAATGCATAAATGTGAGGTAGTGCCATAGTGGCCTCCACTCCTGTGCCAACCATTCTTCTTTTCCAGCCCCCTGCTGGGTCGGGCATGCCCATGATGCCTCAGCAGCCAGTCATGTTTGCACAGCCCATGATGAGGCCACCCTTTGGAGCAGCAGCTGTCCCTGGCACACAGGTCAGTTTCTAAATGCTACCGGATAATGGTATTAATTTATAAGTATAGAACTGTCATGTTACAAACTGCTTTAAAGAGTTTTTCATATAATGTTATCCTTTTATCTGTTGTTTCAGAAGTAAGGGAAACATGGAAGACAGATAAGCAGTAATGTGAGATTTGGGAAAAAAAAGATAAAAACAACAATACTAAGGTTTCTGTATTCCTTGCGTATTTAATTCAGAAAGATTCTCAAGAGTAACCAGACATTTAACATATCTAAGTGTTTATTCCAGAGAGTGAGCACTTCTAATCTGTAGTTTTATTATGTGCTCCCAGATTTAGCCAAATGCAAGGTTAGGGACACAGTCCTCTAAGCTACTAAGTTGCCCAAGAATTTGACACTAGCAGGGTAAGTTTGCCAAAATGCAAAGTAAGCAAGCAACCCTGACATGACTGTCCTCCCTTGAGAGTCCAACCACAAGTTTTAGCATCCCCAGGGTCACCCTTACTTTAGATGAGCTGCTACAAAGTTGAAGGATCCCATGACAAACTTCAAATTAGGTCATTCCCTAAAACAACTTACAGAACTCAGGAAAGCACAAAGTTTACAATTGTAGTTTTATTATAGTGAAAGGATGAAATTAGATCCAGCCAAGGGAAGGGATGCATAGGGCAAAGTAGGCATGGAGCCGCTTGGTCTCTAGAGGTGTTGCACACCTCACATGAATGTGTGACAATACACATGCAATACTGCCAACCCTGGCAGCTCAGCTAAGCTTCAGTGTGTAGAGTTTTTATTGAGTCTTCATTACATAGCAGTGATTGATTGAATTACTGCCCACATGGTAGATCCCAGTCTCTAGACCCCTTCCCCCCTCAAGGTTAGGTTGAAAGTATATGGCCCAAAGACCCAACTCTCCAATCACATGTGGTCTTTCTGGCATGGCCAGACACAGCCCTAAGTCATCTTGTTAGCATGAGTATTGAGGTCTTACCATGAGTCACCAGCAGAATGTCAGCATTAACTATCAGGCCTGGTTCCAGGAAATTACCCTGTATAACAAATGCATTCCTAGTCACTCAGAAATTCCAAGTGTTTGTAGGTTATCTACCAGGATCCAGGACAAAGGGCAAACGTCTCTTTCAATGAGGCCAAATTTCTTACTAAACAATTCCTACATTCATTTACAAAGATGCTAAAATACATGGACATTGTTCAGCTGTCTGACTGCTAATAATGATAGTCACATTAATGAATCACCCTTTCTTGATTCTTCTTATAAAATGCCTGGCCAAAGTGAAGGGACATGTAGTCAAAAAGACTTTAATATTAAGAACTGACTTGGATGGAATCAGAACACCATATTATAACATTACTAGCACCATACTAGTAAAACTGAGAAAACCAAAACAAATAGCTCAAATTTGTTTTAATTAAATCAGTAAATGCCTTTATTTCTATAATAATTTTAACTTACCAATTAAATATTTTAATCTCCCTTGCTTCCTTAAATCTCAAAGTCCATCCTCTACCTGTCCCCAAAATTTACTTTCAGTTTCTTTACTTGAACCACTGAAAAGAGAGAATGGTGGATGTTCAAATAAATAAATTTCAAATATGTAAAACCCTAGTCTTCAAAGCCATCATCAAAACACTGACATATGAGAAATTTTCTAGTTTTTTCTGATACTATTGAACCCTCTCTGGAGTTGTTTTGGAGGGAGAGCAGTGAGGGGGAATTGAGGAATGATAATTAGGGTTAAGTTTAATCTAGACATGATTAAATTCTAAAAAGGACCCTTGATGATCATTTGTATTCATGACTACTACCATCTTCTTGAAAAAAATTTCCATTTTTATGAACTTGGGAGCATATTATTTTGATTTTTTTATTGTATGTGGTGTGCTGGAAGCTTTAGAAATAAATTAATATATTATTTAAGGCAGTCGTTTTGTCTTGTAGAGTACTATCGGTAGTATTACTTGGCACTGGTTTATTTACTTAATTCAAGAAACAAAATTAAAAATAGATAATATGAAAACTGTTTTAATCAGTAATTGAATTTATAGTAATTTAGGAAATGGTATGCCATATTTTAATTTTTAGATTTCCTATATCAGAGACAAAGCGTAGCTGATTTTACCAGATAATAAAATAGACATGACATAGATACCTATAGCTTTAGAAAGCAAAACTATTTTTCATTACTGATAATAGGACTGTTCCGGTATTCTGCAATTGGTTGGCATCATGATTTTGTAATCTCACCTAATAATTATGGACCACTGAATTCTTTATCTTCCAAACAATATCAAGCTTACATTTATATTTTTTACCTGACCTTTCTATGAAGTACGGTCCCAGCTTTAAAAATGAAAATTTAAAGGATAGATACTATTGTCAGTCAATCATTTCTGGACAAAGAAATAAATCTAAAAATCCTTACTTCTTGGAGCTCTGTTCCTTAACCAATAAAAATTTATATCCTGCCATATAGTACCAGATTTCTGACATTTCCATCATGTTAAGCACATAGCAGATGAATTAGACTCAAAGGATAGATATTACTCTGTATAGATTACCTGGCTTTTTCAAATTCTTGTACCCTAATCTTTTATCCTACAGTGAAATAACTTTTATTTATTAACTAAACAGAAACAAGTTGATTTTTTTGTTGTTTTTGTTGCGAGCTCAGCATAATTGTTTTCCATAATATTTTGATAAGTAGGCTTCTCTGTAAACTGAACAGGCAATATTAGAATTTAGTGACATTCATAACTAGGAAACTGCTCTTCTGAAACAAATCATGCCCCCCATTTGAATTTTACTTAGTATACTTTATATAAAATTATAGTATGCTTAGCGAATAATTTTATGTAATTTCCTAAGTGGCTTTGGGCAGACTGTTTTCTTTCAGTTCTTCCATCAACTCACTGTAAGAAAAGCCGTTAAAATTCCTTTATTAGTTTAGTGATACTAATAACTCAAACTACAAAATGCTTTTCTGTAGCGATATTTATATTACGTTTTAATATGTATTCATAATATCTTTATGTGACTTGTTTTTCACCTCTTCCCTAACTCTTATTCATATTGTTCTACCAGAGTCCCCAAATTTTACCTTGGCTAAATCTGGTGTGAAAAAATTTCAAGAAAGCCAAATATCATCTGAAGTGTATTTTACCAATCCAGAATTAAACATAACACTGTGACTAAGTAGAACAAAGTAGATTTTGTAAACCTTTAGCTATCTAATCCTCTGCATTCTCGTTTTCTGCAATGTGTGTTCTGCCTAATGCTTATCTATCTCTCTGTTTGCTTTCTGTTTCTGCTGTCTTGGACTGGCTTTTCCCCATTAGCTTTCTCCAAGCCCTACACCTGCCACTCAGAGTCCCAAGAAACCTCCAGCAAAGGACCCCTTAGCGGATCTAAACATCAAGGATTTCTTGTAAACAATTTAAGGTATTAATATTGAGCTTTTCCTGTGGGCTTGTAATAGTGACCTGTACAATGCTTACTTGTTTCAGGTATGGTATTTGTTGTTCTGTGTTTTGAATGCATGTATATAGTTATGGTTTGTATTTATACTTTTAAAAATCAATTTTAAAAGCCATCTTTATCAATGAATTTATTAAAGTCTTACTTAATTTATAAAACTAGGAGGGAGAGAATCTCCAAATTATCCTTATTTAGGAAAGTACAAAAAATACACTGATAAAGCATAAAATACAAAGATTATACTGAAAAAGCAAAAGTTGTCCAAACTACTTGGTAAATTAGAAAATTATCACTTTATTTCATAATAACTGAAATTTATAGAATGCTAACATTCATATTATTTAGAAATCATCTAAGACTATATTTGGCTGTATAACTGTTTTTTTTTATTTTGTTTGTCCTTATTTCGCCACCTCTGTGATTAGATGAGATCAGGTACATTCAGGGAGCTATGACTGTAGACTCAGCTTCATTAGATTTTCACCTTTTGCATTTCTGTATTCAAGAAGAATTCTACATTTCTTACATCCTACATTTAAATTTCTATAGTTTACATTTCTTACATTTTACATTCCACTTTCAAATATAATTTATGAAATTATTGATGGTGGACTTATGGGAGGAAAGTGATGAAGCATAAAAGTTTATTATTAACCCATGTCACCTAACACCTAATGTGTCACCTAACACAGTTGGGTAGGTTCTCAACAAATACTTGCTGGATGTGGATGAACAGTAATAATTCTGCTTTTCATTTTACACAGTACTTTTTATACAGTTATTAACTCCTTTGATCCTCTTTGTTGAGATCAAAGCCTGTGAGATAAACTAACCAGATACCTTTTGTCTCCAAACTTGTCCTTGGCATTAAGTGGCTTTCCCAAGGCCACATGGGAAGAACAGTAAGAGTGTTGCAGTTTTGGGACCACTGCTGGTGTTATTTTTATTACATATCTGCTATGTATTTATGCACAGATAGATAGATAGATAGATAGATAGATAGATAGATAGATAGAACATTCTATTACATATCTGCTATGTATTTATGCACTGATAGATAGATAGATAGAACATTCTCTAATGTCTACTAAGGTCTACTAATGCCTCTAATGTCTCCTTAGTTATTTCAAGGTCTTAACATCTTAGTCAAGAAACTTCTTCTTGTGCCCAGCCTATTCTACTTTGAGTTGGATTGAACTGATGCAGTCTTGAGTAAGATATTGAGCACTTATCTCTTGCCAATTAAAATTTTAGTGTAACAAGGACCCTACATAGAGCAGGCTTTCATCCACCTTTTATTCAGTAAATGACACACTCATCATATGCCAGGATAAGTACCCAAAACAGCGATACAGTCCGTGCCCTCAGAGATTCACAGTTAAGAGGGAAGGTGGCAGACTAGATTGTGAGGAATAGTTACCCACATGGCTAAGACAACACTAGGAAAGGTTTCCTATAAAGTTTGGATTAGCCAGAGAGATAGTGGGGAAGGGCCTATGTTGAATAGTCACTGTGAAGCTCCAGGGATAGTTCCCTTCTCTTCTGTTCTCTCACTTAACTACTTAGTGATTCCCTGAACAGCATAACTGAAAACCAAAAAATAATGGAAGTTACCACCTTTACCTTTTTTGTTTCACTGTGCTTTTTTAAAGGCTAGCTTAAGGTTAGTTCTAATCGTTCTTAGTAGATATTGAATGTTTACAACTAAAATTTCTAGTAAATATCCAAATTCTGAAATCTCGCTGATGTAAATTTTTATCTAAAACAAAACTACATTGAGAGTTTTTTTAAGTTTTCTTCTGTCTGAAATGTTAAACTTATTTGAAAAAATTGTGAATTTGTTAATGCAGAAATCTTTTGCGTAAAGATTTTTCCAGTGATTAAAGTAAATTTCAAAGGGCATAAAATATTTGGGGAGTATATAATATTGTTTCCTAATTCAAGTGTTTTTATCTTTACAGCTGCAATTTTTTGTGACTGAATAGAAAAAAAATTAATGAGTTTGGAGACTTCAAATAAGATTGATGCTCAGAGTTTCAAAGTGAGCCACCAGTACCAAACCCAATGCTTACTCATAACTTCTCTTCCAAAATGTGTAGCACAGCTGTGAAAGTGAACATTAGGAATGTGTACTACCTTAGCTGTTATCCCTACTCTCAAAATTGTAGTGTATTTGGGTTATTTGTGTGTTGTACGATGTAAACAATGAATGGATGTTCCTGATGCCTTTAGTGCTTTTCTGGACCTCGCCTGTGGACGGATGATGCAGCTGTTGTATGGTGAGCCATTTGGAAAGATGTGTCTGTGTTTTTTGAAGGTTTCAATGTATATATAACTTTTGGACAAACCTAAACTCTCCCCCCTAAATTCTCTTTTCTTCTGTATTTCTCTTACAAACATAGTATGATAATATCAGATAGTGAAGAAAACACTCTTAACTATACAAAACTTTTTTCGGTGTGGAGTACATTTTTTCCAATCACAGGAACTTCAACTGTTGTGAGAAATGTTTATTTTTGTGGCACTGTATATGTTAAGATATTTTATTTTAAAAAATATAAAGGTTAATGTCCATAATAAATATTTCTCCTTGAAGCTACCTTATCAAGAATGAAAAATCTTATGGAAAGAATTCCATATTTAATCACTACTATATTAAAATATATATTTTAATTATATTTGACAGGTTTTACATCTAAATTGACCTATTTATTCATTCTTGATTAAATGCACTGAAAAGTAAAGGGTTCATTTCTATCCAGTTCTATCGTGAAAATGCAAATAGAATTATGCTATTCAAGTGATTATGAAGGCACCCCAAGGTATATCTGTAATTTAAAGATTACTACAGATATTTTTATTTTATTGTGGGTTTTATGTACATCTGTTCATTTAGTATTTTTTTGTGTGTTCTGTAGACTAGTGTTCCTCCATCCCTCAACTGAGCACAAAGTAGGTTTTGTTGTACCATTGTGATTAGAATTTAAACTAATTCAGAGAATTGTATCCTTTACTGTACATACTGTATTTTTTAATTTTTAATTTGTTGTCATACTGTCTGTGCTGATGGCTTGGCTTAAGATTTTGATGCATAAATGAGGTCACTGTTGATCAGTGTTGCTAGTGGCTTGGCAGCTCTTTGTTAAAGCATATTGGGTTGGAAAGGTGTTTGCCTAATTTTCAAATTATTTAATAGATGTATGGTACCATTTAAAAGTGGTTGTATCTGAACTTACTGTGGGGATAACATACACTGTAATGGGGGAAAAAATTTCAAAATGGCTTTTCTTTGTATTTCAGTTTAAAAACCCAGTGCATGTACGCCCTCTGAGATGCAATAAATACCTTGAACAAAGAAAATACAAATATAATCTTTCTCTCTTTGATTATTTTTAATAGTAGGAAAACTTTTAGGGGGGAAGTCTGTTTCAAATGACACACATACATATGGAATATTGAAAATGTTAAAATATTTAGGAGTGATAAATGCTGTCCAGACCAACATAGCTTTGATTAGTTTTATAATAAATTAAAAACAAGGGGAAAAAAGAATTTTAATCCTCTTTCATTAAACATGGAACTTCAAGGCTATTGCCAAATAAACTGAAATTCCATATTGCAAAGAAGAAAAAGATGAACTTTCTTTGAAAATATGCAATTAAATTCTTTTAATAATTTTTCACAAGAATTTTCCATGGAAGTTAAAGAATGAGATTTTAGATACTAGTATACTCACACACTTGCATGCAGATACTTAGACAGAAAATCTAGATTAGCTGATTCTAATGAAACTGAAAGACTTTATAAATAGATTGTTACAATGTCTCCAAAAGTAGCCCCCCAAAATAGAAGCATTTCTTAAACAGTGGCATATTCTTACCTCAAAAATTACCTTTCCCTTATTTACCTAAGATTTGTGTCTTGAGAATTAACTTTTCTATTTTATTGATAGCATTTTGATCATGTGTTACATAGTGGGTATAATTGTAATGTGTTTTAGCTTATATTGATAAATAATTTTAGGTTTAATATTGCATTTTTAATTAGCTTTTCCACTTTGTTGAATGGCCCATGTAGTTATATGAGCTCTTAGTAAGTGAAGCTACAAGAGCATTATTTTAAAATGTGACCCTGGAACCTTGCTGTGGTGTTTTTGCCGTCCTTGTAGGAGAAATATCTTACAGACAAGATGCGACATGAGGTCCTTTGGGTACTCAAAAACCTAACTTCTAGATAATTTTCAGCACAAGTCCAATTTACCCATAATGTTCCTTCACACAGTGAGTGTCCTTTTGTAAGCTCACGTCTGGTTCAACCTGCCTCCTACAGGCACACACAAATATGCATACACACCATTACATGCTGAGCACACCACTACTCATACAAGGGGCCACCATGCACTGTGCTAGCCCACACAGGGCCCTCTGCATGAGAGCAGCACACCTGCCCTCCCAGTGCAGCTAAGCCCCATTTGTCCATCATGGATGCCCACCCCATGCTTCTCAGAACAGAACTTTCATCAGCCTAGATTCACTTAACAGGTTGCATATTAATCAGCTGTGAAGGTGGCATCTACTCTGGGTGAAGCATCTCCTCCTCCTCTTATCCTCAGCAACTAGTACTTCAGTCTATTCCAGGTAAGTACCTGAGGCATGAATTCAATTACACTAGTTCTTCAAGGTCTCTTCATCTGCCTGGATATTGCTGGGCTATGATCATATTCCTAATTACTATAGAACTCTCATATAGTATATTTATTGTCAAATGTTATTAGAATTTTAATAGCTCTGTCAGTTTATTGTAATATAAGAACAAAAACTCATCTTGAACATTTGAATCACTTTTTTATATAATAAAATAATTACAAGTGTTTCAGTATTGCATTGTCCCCTTTTTTCTCTTTTATGTTATTTATTATACCTTAAAAAAAAGAATAAAAACCAAAGAATTTGGAGTAGGGTCATAGGGCTCAGAAAAGGAGTAAAGGAATGGACATGAGAAATGAGAACTCAGTTCACAGAAGGACAAATTTTGTGAAGGCCTCTTTTTGCTCCTAAATAGAAATGATTTATAATTGATCTCTAAATTTTTATTGGTGGAAAAGATCATGATCTTGCAGCAGTGATTAGTGTTTCTTTTGTAGAATTCCTTGTTGAACATCAAAAACCAGTATTATTTGAAAAATCACACTTTTATTTTTTATGCAATAGGTTTCATTATGGTTTATTATTAGTCTTCTTGGGCTATGATAAAATTTTATAGCTTTGCTCTTAGAATTTTTACTCCTGGATACATTATTCAGATCTCCGTGTGTGACAGTGCATGAAGGAGTATTTAATGACTGGTAATTAACCTTGGCTAAAATCTCAAAACCGCAACACTTAATCAAATTGAGTTCATTTCTACTGATGACATGTATATTCAAACAACTCTGAAACGTAAAGGTATTCTACAGTTAATTCTATACTTATTCTCTGATTTATAGACAAGAGATTTTCAAACCCTTTGGTCTCAAGAACCCTTTGCACTTTTAAAATTTATTGAGGACCTCTAAAAGTTTTTGTTTATATGGAAAATGCCTGTTAATACTATGTTAGGAATGAACACCAAAATTTTTAAGTGTTTAATTTAAAAATAAAAATATTAAAGCCATTACACATTAACATAAATAAAATATTTGTGTAAAAGACTATAATTTCAAAAAAATAATTCAGGAGACTGGCATTGTTCTGCCATCTTTGCATCTCTTTAATGTTAAACTTAACAGAACACAGCTGCATTCTCACATCTGCTTCTGCCTTTATCCTGTGGCAATAGCCCATGGCATGCAGTCACTGGAAAATTCCACCGTGAACATGCTTGTGGGAAAATAAGTGTCTTACTATCATTATGAAAATAGTTTGGAATTCACAGTACTGTTATAAAAATAACGTTGACCTTACAGACTTAGAAAGGGTCTCTGGATCCTCAGGAATGCTCAGACCACCCTTTGAGAGTAGATTCTTTAAATCTGAAAGTGTTCTCATGTTTTTTGAAAGAGGGGAAAAAATACTATTGATGATTAATAGATTGCATTGTATGCAGGCATGCACATGTATGTGTACATGTGTGTGTATAATAACCCCATTACCACCACTATTTTCTGTTTTGTGTTTTCCAAATGCCCACCTCCACCACTTCCATGTTACTTTTCTTCTTTTTTTAGCCACCATGCTTTACTTTTTTAATTTGTGTGTGTGTGTGTGTGTGTGTTTGTTTTACATTGTTGTTCCTCTCGGGTGTAATCCCCATAGAATTCCCACCACCAAGTCACCCATTAACCATCACCATAGTCTCTTGGGCTCTTCCCTCCCCTGTTATGATTCCTTTCCCTCCCCCTCCCCTGCTGAATGTCTCTGATTTATCTTTGGCTTGCTAGTTTTGTTTTTGTTTTTTTCCTGATCCTTTGTTTGGTTTTCCTATATTTCTCCTATAAATGAAACCAGCTGATATTTTTCCTTCTGACTTATTTCACTGAGCACAATCCCTTCCAGCTCTATCCATTTTGCTGCAAATGGCGTGTGTTCATCTTTTTTGACTGCTGAATAGTATTCCATTGTGTGTATATACCTCATCTTTTTAATCCAGTCATCTGTTTTGGAGCATTTATGTTGTTTCCATATCTTAGCTATTATAAATATTGCTTCAGGATACAAAATCAACATACTCCATGTTACTTTTTTTTTTTTTAATACAAGCACTGGGTACAGTCAGAAGCATGGGAGGGTGAGAGAATTCACCAGAGCCAGAGCGGGGAGCAGAGCAGGCAGAAGGACCGAAGTACACTGCTGAGGGGAGCAGCGGTCACGGCAGGAGAGGTCTGCGCACCATGTGGGACCCTCACTGGTGGCTGGGGATCGAACCTGCACTGCAGAGCCTGCGGACAGCTTCGCAGCCCAGCGCTCAACTGCTGCACCACCAGGGGAGGCCCTCCATGTTACTTTTTAAGTATACTGAGACTTTGCAGGAACTCCAGGGTCACATTGTGAGGAGGGGAACTGCTGCTCCACCACCCACTATTATCTTCGTCAAGTTACCTAACTTTTCTTTAGTTTTTTGTCTATAAAATGGATATAAAATTTCCATTTACATACTTACTGTTTAATAAGATAATACATGTAGAGTGCTTGGCATAAAATAGTGCTTGATAAAGACTCCTGTTGTTACTTTTTTAAATTGTTATTTAAAATTGCTATTACAGTTGAATTTTCCAACCACTGCATCCCATGGGCTGTCGCTACATGGGCTGTTGTTTAAACTGGATTTTGCCATTTATTTACAGTTGTGACACTAAAAGATGAAGGAGACAGAAGTATAAGAATAGTCAATAATTGGAATATTTGGTAATAAAGTTCAATCACTAGAGTATTAAATGTTAAAAATTTTAAACGTATGAGTAGAGCAGAAACAACACCTACCTCAGGCTTGACTTCTTAGAGACTTCTGCTCTGACCTAGCTCCAATATCTAATGATACTTTTTAAGAAAAAAATTGAAGATGCTAATGTGATAGATGCTTTTGGACAGTAGTAGAATTATAATTGTTTCTACTTGAAAAAGTTTTAATAAGTATATTTTGTGTATTTACAATGATTTTTTTAATAAAATAAAATATTTAGTGATAATAGAGGTGGAAGATGCTATTGAAATTAAAAATATTCAGAGGGGACAAGCAATGAGTGCAGTTGTGGCCATTAGGGCTGGAGGAGGGAGATAATCTTGAGCAAAAAGCTTATGAGAGGCCATAGCCTGGGAACTGAATCCAGGCCTGTGAACAGTGTCCCACAAAGGGGCAGGGTTAGAAGCTTCCTCTCCTAACCAAAAGAGGGGAGACAATCATCTTAGTGATCATGCTCTAAGGTCTCTAACAAACCATTCAAAGTGTTTCCTGGTCTGCTAGAGGTCTGGCTCGAAAGAGCTCTAGCTTTCCATGGTTTACCACCAGGAAGTGCTAACCTCCTATAGCAGCAATCCCCAAATAGTATATCTTAAATACAAAGTGCATTGTCACACTTTATACCTTTGCATAAGCTGTTTCTAATCCCTAAATGCCCTCCACTTCCCCCAAGTTCCCCACTGATAGTCTGGCAAATTTCAACTCATTCTTCAAAACCCACTTCCTCTAAGAACACTTTCTTTTCATCATAGATGCCCACCCTCATGGAGGTAATTGTTCTCAAATGTGTTCCATCAGCACATGATACTTACTTCATCTTTTTCACACTGTTTTTTTAAAATATATGTCTGACTCACTGACTCACAGTGCATCCCTCTCTTTGCATTGTATAAATGATTCCAGCAAAAGAGGAAATTTTTTGAATATTTCAAAATAGGAAAGCCATAAAGAATATGTTTTTCTCTAGTCTAAAAACTAAGACATTTAGTTACTGATCATAAAAAGGTGCTCCATATAGTGTTTATGATATCTAGTTTCTACCAAAAACCAAACTTTAATTTGAGAGTATGTACAGGAGATTGTTGCTATTATATGTGTATCAGTGACTGCCCAGGACATCCCTTCATAGAGCCACGTCAGTCATATGCCAGTCTACATGCAGTGGCACAGCTGCCCATTTGGTGGGTACAATAGTCTCGCTTGTTTTCCAGGCTACAAAGAAACCTTTTTAAAGTAAATGTTCTAAGTGCAGTGGCAGAATACTAAATTAAGTTCTGTCTCAAAAATAACATGCTTTTATTTTTAGGCAATTGCTTGATAAACTGGTACTTTTGATTGTCAGTAGAATCTTGGCACCAAGCCCATATGGATTTTTAAAAGAAAAAAATAAACAGCACCTTTGTTATGCATTGCAAAAAAAAATTTGAAATTGCATCTCTTAAAAAGGTTAGCTACAAAGTTTTCTAAGGAAAAAAATCATCCCCCCTCCCCAGATCTTTGCACTGTGTACTAGTGCATTCTTTTCTCCAGTACCCTGAGATTTATCTTGATTTGTGATCTGATATCTGGGTCAATAGTTGTAGTTTAAGTTCTAAGTAAAACAAAAATCGCATAGTCTTGACTTGTCAATTAATGGGGGTAGAAGGTCTAGTAAGGAAAGAGTGCTTAGAAAAGGCTCCTGGGCCTCCTGGGGGGCACAGTGATTGAGTGCTGGGCTGCGAAGCTGCCTGCAGCCTCTGCAGCGCTGGTTAGATCCCGGCCACCTGCGAGGGTCCCACATGGCACGCAGACCTCTCCTGCCGCGCCCACTGCTCCCCTCAGCAGTGTATTTCGTCTGCCTGTTCTGTTCCCTGCTCTGGCTCTGGTGAATCCTCTCTCACCCTCCCGCACTTCTGACTACCCAGTGCTTGTATAAATAAATAAATCTTTAAAAAAAAAAAAAAGGAAAGAAAAATTAAAAAAGAAAAAAGGCTCCTCCTTCCAGAAGCCTCAGAACTTTGAGAATCATTCTTGGGAAACCTCTGAATTGCTTGTCTAGCTAAGAAGAGATAAGCTCCTTACTAGGCAGTTCTTAGAAAAACATTCTGTAGGTAGGGAAACCCAATAAGCTGGAAGTTTAGGAGTAACATAAAGGAGGTAGGGCTGATGATTAATTTCAATGACTTGCATCACCGTAATCCCAATCTGTGCACAATACACACACTCATTCTTGTGGGATAAATGGTTGTTGATTTCTTAGGAAATTCCAGTCTTTCAATTACATAATTTCTATTATACTAAATACAACTAATCGCATATTCTATTTGCTGAACATTTGCTTTATTCAGGGCAGTCTACTATGATCAAACAATTAGAGGTATTTTATACCACATCCTGAATTTTTGCCATTATACCATAGTTGCTGTGTCTATATGCCATAGTGCTAAGTGTATACATAAATTGGGTGTGGTTGTATGATAAATTCTGAACTTTCAATAATACACATTAACATTCCAAAAAAACATTTTAATGGTTAAGGATCCGGGTAGTTTACACAACGAGATACCATCTCACACCCATGAGAATGGCAAATAAAAAGACTTCCAACAAGTTGTTGACAAAGATGCAGAGAAAAATCATGCGTTTTGCCCCAGGACAGATGCTGGGTCTGTCCACATAATGGCCAGAGCAAGTGGTCTTGGTTCTTACTCAAAATAAATCATCAACAATAATCATTTTAAAGAATCTTCTTTTTAAAATTGTATTTGTAGAGTAGAGTCATTTTTAGGACATATTTAAAATTACTAATCAAAAAATTCATCAGTATAATATACTTGTGACCCTATGAGAAAGCATAATTTTGTCCAGGAGTTAAAAGGATCTCTTCAAAAAAAAAAAACAGAATTCCTTGAACTAAAAATATAAAATGTTCATATATAGGGGAATGTATAGCATAAATTGGTGTGAGTTTCAAGGTTTGCTCATTTATAACTTTTAAACTGTCTTATGCATAAACGAAAAGCCCATGTTTTGCATATTAAATAAAAATTGGAGCTCTTAAAGTATCTCCGCTTCCCTATTTTTCAAGTACCTTTATTTTATAGTAGAAAGCATTTCTCTTGTTTTTAAATAATACCTCAGTGGATTTTTAAAATCAGCGAAAGTTAATAGTTTTGTTTATAAAGCTTGTTGTTCTGAAGTTTCTCAGACCCAACAGAAAGCTCAATATAATCACTGAAGGTGTGAGCTGAATGGGTCCACATGAAGTAGCACAGACTGTGTGCTGTGTTATCTCTGACCTGATTCTAAGTGTGGTGCTGTCTCTCTCTGTGTGGGTTCATAATTAATTTGCAACTGGCATCCTATTAAGTTCTTCTTAGTGCAGGGCCCTGAGCATAAGACCATGGAGAAATTGCATGTTACTTATAGCACCAGCTTGAAGATTTAAGAAGGCAGAAAGAAAGAAAACTTTCCCCCACAAATGAAACTTACCACCATATAAAGAATTATACTTGGCTTTGAAGTGTGCACCTAGTTTCAATATCTGTACCTAAACATTTTTTAACATGAAAATGCCCTAATTTTGGAAGGCAGCTATGCTCACCACTATACCACCAACGCACCCTAAAAAATGCCCTAATTTTGAAAAAAGTGTTTATAAAAATGAACTGCTAATAGTGTTCATGTCCAAGAATAACCTATGAAGTGACCTAGTTACTATAATCAAAACTGGTTTTCTGTGAAGTTTAGATAATCCACGACCTCGTTGGGGGCTTCTGTCAGCCCTGTGTACAATTGGCATCATTCCCATGAATCCAGAGGCAAATCTGGGCATACTTGAGGGGCGTGATGCGCACTGCCACGTTGTAGTCTTTCTGAACACCGTGGACATCCACCCACTGGTGGCCTGAATAGACCGCAATGATTTTGCGCTTCCAATTCTTTCTGTCCGGCTCTTTCAGACGCAGATAGACCCCAGATCCCGTGGAGCCCGACTCGGCATCGCAGTATTGATAGAGGAGATCACTGGATTCATCTGACACACTGCAAAACCGGTAGACTAACTGATCTGCCCTGTCGCGATCAAATCCTGAGAAGTGGATCATACCGCCGGGCAGTTTCTTGATGGTGGGGCTGATGCCCAGTTCCATGTATTTCTTTTTGTGAGCTCGCTTCAGCTCCAGAAGAGCATAGTCATAGTCCAAGGCAGCGCCGCCCCTCCCTCCTCTCGCCCAGCCTTTGGGAATGTGTGTGTTCTTGACGCGGGTCCACTGGAAGGAGGGCCTCCCTTCAGCGACTCTCCCAGCCCGGCCAGGTTCCCTTCCTCTTCCCGCAGTGGTGCTCACCTTCAGAGTCTCCTTGGTCCTTCTTTCGTCACCACCGGTGGCTTCTCTCCTGCCCCTCTTAGAACCCCTACGTCTTTTGCCACCAGCTTTATTTCTCATCTTCAACAAACCTACCCTTAGCTTTTTGCTCCCTTTGATATAGTCCTTTCCATCGTGAACACAGTGGGCAGCTGTTAGAACGTGACTGGGGGAGACGAGGACACCACTGCAGCCCGTGGAGAGCTTCACAGCTGTATTGAAAGGGAAGTTGGTCAAGAATCTCTTGTCCAAGATACTGAACCTGCTGTCTGTGCCATACACCTGCCTCTTTCTCCGAACAGATGCTCCTCTTGTGATATTTTGAGTTGGCTCAAGGACCAAACCTTGCACTTTTACTCTGGTCAAGGTCCTGGTACCATTCTCAAAGACAGTCTCGTATGAAAGAGAGTCTTCCAGGTCAGAGAGGCTGGGGGCTGGGAGTTCTTTGTGGCATTCGATGCCACACACTGGGTTTAACACCATCTTAGCTTCTGCCTCAAATGTGGGGCTGGTAAGATGGAAAGTCCTTTCACTGACAACCCGGGGTATTGTACTCAAGGGCCACATAAAATCCTGTTCCATTTCAGATCCATCAACGAGAAGACACCCAAAGGTGAAAAATATCAACCAAAATAGCATATTTTCCATTTGGTTCTTCTATTTTGTCCTTAAAAATAGGAAAAAAAAATGAAACTTTACAATGTTTTATTCTTAAATGCTACTTACCCTTTTATGTCTTGGGTGGTCAAATGTACCTTCAACACAAATAGGGGTCCTTCTTTCATCTTGCTTGTATGTAATAATTGGGCTCATACAGACTTCCAAAATCAGTAACCTGTTTTCACCCAACCTTCCTCTGCCAGCCTTACCCCACCTCCTTTTATTCCCACTGCCACCTCCACTTTTGCTTTCCCATACAGTGCAGTGCTTGAGACAGTATGATGGGTCACAAAGTGGAGTCCTCTGTTGCCTAAGCCAAACTCTCCCTACCAAGGTTTTTTATAACTGTATTTCCAGATGATTTAGAAAGACAGGAGCAGGTTCCTGGCATTTTCCTTCCATTTAGCTCTTAGAAGCAGAGATGATAATTTTTTTTTTAATCTCAAGAGTGTAAATATAACACAGAACTCAAAAAATCATTCAGTGGAAGACAGTGAATTTCCCTGAACTGTGATTTGCAAACCAAGCTGATTGATGGTCCAACTGAAATCACCAGATAACATTCTAAAAGAAGAGGTTTTAATATTTAATAAATAAATAAATAGGCTCATATGCTGTTGTCCTGCTTCAGTTTTTATAAACATAAACCCTTATAAAATAGGGAAACACGATCATAATTTGCACTTTACATAAAGTAAAGGCAATTCAAAGTTAGATTACTCCTATAATACCTCCACTCTCAGTCACTCTTTGAAAGCTATTTTTGCATGGAAAAGAAAGCTAGTGAGGGATTTTAGGAATGGCCCACAACCAGTAGGATCCAGTGTACTGGCATAAAAAGCAAAAGTTGTTTCTGATACAGTTAAATATGGGCATCCCTTTATAAAACAGTTTGTCTATACAAGTACAGAATTAAATTACACTCATTTGAGAAAACAAAAACATCTACATTAGCCTTTTTATTATTTAAACTGTATTAAACAGTATTATTATTTAAACAGTGATTAAACAATCACCAATGACAATTTTAATCATCATACATTTGAACATACTATAAAATTTAGAATAGTCTTTACCAGCATCAGCAAAATTACCTAGAAGCTTTATAATTTCCATTTTCAAATCTGCTTATTCTTGAACGCTGAGTAACAGTGATTCTGGTTAATATTGGATTGGATTGTTTTCTAAATAGCTTTTATTTGTTTTATTTTGGAGACAGTGCATTTTTCTGTAGAGTGATGGATATACAATTTTTTTTTTGATTGGCTTTTCACTTAACCCTATATAGTAACAGCTATCCATTGTGTCCTTAATATAGTATTACAGTAGTGACTGAAAATCAGTCAAATATCTACATTGAAAAATATATATGATCACTTGGTATATTTTAACACTGATACAAATGATCTGTGGGGTAATACATGTGTGGAAGGCATGTCTAGGCAAAAGAGCAGAAGTCTAAATCATGATTTTTTCCCTCCAGTTTGGTTTTATTTTATTTTAGTACAGTTTGTCCAGTCTTGCATCTTTTTTGCCTTTTCAGGAACTAGAAAGACAAAATGCAAATGTTAAGTGACAACAGAGCAGATGATATTTTACTAAACCTTTGAACAAGAATATGAATCTCAAATACATAAATTCCCCTTTCCTTTACTAAATAAAATATGCACCTGTGCCATAATTCTGCAGGCAGACTTTAAAGGACACAGGTTCATTTCATGTGTCAATTTAACTGAACCACAGGGTACCCCCATACTTGAGCAAACATTATTCTGGTGTGCTGTGAAGTTGTTGCATGAGATTAGTATTTGTTGGTATACTGAGCAAAGCAAATTACTCTCCCTAGTATGGGTGGACTCATTTAATCAGTTGACAGGTCTGGCTAGCACAAAAAGATTAATATTGTCGTGGGGGGAACTCCTCCATCTGATTCCTTGGAGCTGGGGTAATGGTATATTCCTGCCCTTGGACTTAAAATGAAACATAAACAGGTTCCAAGAATGTTAATAGTTTGTTAATAAAATTCTGTACTTGTTCATTGTAAAATAATCTATTATGAGAAGGAGTGCCCAGCTTGTAGTCCACAGACAGCACCACCTGGGAACTCTTTAAAGTAGACGTATATAATAAGAATTGGTGCTCCTAGGGTTGGGGAGACCAAGTGCTGTGATACAAGCAGACTGTCTTTTTTTTTTTTTTTTTGTCATTTAGGAAATGTGATTTTTGATTGGATTTGTTTTACTGTGATACAGCTATACTGTGTTTGTAGCTCTTAATTTTATCATCCTTTTGTTGTTTTACTTATTTATAATGGTTGGAGAATAAGGATAAGATGAAGGAGGATATATGCCTTTAGAAATAATCTGTCACTGTTATCCTGGGACTCAACCCTGGCAGAAAGATGCTGTGGGACCATAAATCAGAAAGGTAACCTGGATATATTCTGATTTGACATGCTGGCATAGACTTGTCTCTGTGGTAATATTTCCTTTAATGCTCTGTTGAACCTGTTCTCTTTAGTGAAATTAAAATGCATGTGTTTGGAAAAAAAATAAAATAGAAAGAAAAAAAATAAATAAAATGTTCATTCTCAAACATGCCCCTAAAAGTCTCCAGGAGGGGGCAGGGTGAGTTTCCAGCTATCCAGGTTAATAATCACTCTGGTCTTCCAGACAATTCTGAGAGAGTGCAGTTAAGAACTGCAGCAGCCAATGTCAGTAACTGTTATTTTCATATTCACAGATGATAAACATTTTAAATAAAAACAAACAACAACAACAAAAAAGAACTGCAGCAGCCAAGGTCCTAGGGCAGCAGCGTAAGCCATTCCCCAGAAGTCAGTCTCCAAGGATGATTGCTCAAATGGGTCTCAGATGATGTCTATTTTGTGTGTGTGTGTACAAAATAAGTTCTGAACTTTGTTATTATCCTATATTAGCAACTGCTAATATAATGATTCAGCCATTTAAAAAAGAAAAAAACATAACTTACTTTTACCTAAGTGATTTAATAATATCTGAAAAAATACAAAGTTGTGGATGTAGTGCCTCCAACATCTGATGCTGCAGACCCTGCAGTGGCATCAGTTTGCCAGCCCTGTTGCCATTTCAGAGAGTTCTGCTGCAGTGTCCCACAGGCTAACAGCCATGCCCACATCTATCCCTGGCCATGGGAGGGACAGAGCCTTGTAATCTGACCTCAGAATCACAGTAATAAGAGGACATGGATCTAGCGAGTCTGTTTAATTTAGCCTGTAATTTAAAATTGGACACGTTTAAGGACACTTTCTGTTGGAAAATCTAAGTTTGCCCTGTAGTTAAGTGTCAATGTAATGTAAATTATAGCTCTTACTGATACAGCAATCCATGGTTCAGTGAATACATGTACATATGTGCCCATCTACCAAAACACACTAACTTATTGTTGTAAATAGACACAATCTCAATTGGTGGGGAAGTATACTACTTTTAAAGTTCTAATGTCCCATATCTTAGCTAATTCTCCTTTCCCTGTGTTCCATCATAATTGTGACCTTCACTGTCACTTTCCAGATGTCTTGGATTTAGGACTTCAAATTCCAACTTTGTGGAAAGTGAGGTTGCAATCAATGCTCTCTGCCATGAGTCAGCATGCACATAGTTGATTGTGGGTTTGATCATGGAGACTTATGGAGTGGAAGGGAATTAAGGAGGAAGCAAGAACATCAGGATATGCCAGTCAAGAAATGGGCAGAAGAACTTAAAAGACATCTCTCCAAAGAGGAAATGCAAATGGCCAACAGGCATATGAAAAAAATGTTCAACATCCCTGATAATCAGGGAAATGCAAATGAAAACCACACTGAGATACCACCTTACACCAGTAAGAATGGCACATATCAAAAAAACTAGCAACAACAAATGTTGGGGAGGATGTGGTGAAAAAGGAACTCTCCTACATTGCTGGTGGGAGTGCAAACTGGTCCAGCCACTATGCAAAGCTGTATAGAGGTTCCTCAGTCTACTGAAAATGGAGCTACCATATGACCCGGCAATTCCACTCCTAGGGAACTACCCAAAGGACACAAAAACATTGATTCAAAAGAACATCTATACCCCTATGTTTATTGCAGCACTTTTTATAATAAGTAAAATCTGGAAACAACCCAAATGCCCAAAAATAGATGACTGGATCAGGAAGATGCGGTATATATACTATATATACACAATGGAATACTATTCAGCAATCAAAGAAGATAAACTCATGCCATTCCCAGCAACATGGATGGAGCTAGAAGGAATTATGCTCAGTGAAATAAGTCAGGAAGGAAAAAGAAAAATATCAGATAGTTTCACTTATAGGAGGAATAGAGGGGAACCAAATGAGACATGGCGGGTGGGGAATAATAATACAAAACACAACACAACAAAACAAAAACAAACAGACAATTATAAACCTGAGACATCCTGCAGGGGAGGGGGAGGGAGAGGGATCAGAGGGAGGGAGGGAGGAGCACAGTGGACTGTGGTGATGGTGCATGGGTGCACTGGTGAAGGAAATTCTATGGGGACTACACCTAAGGGGGGGGGGAAGCAAATACTGCTTAAAAATGAACAATGATATAAAAATATATAAATGAAAAGAAAATTTTAAAAAAGAACATCAGGATATGTAGGTGAATACTTTTTGATGGAGCAGATATTATTCCATACTTGTACCCAGTCTATTAGTAATAGAAATTATCACACAAAACTGTAAGATGTAACTTACCATTACTCTTTTTGTTTGCTTAGTTTTCTTCTTTTTACATTCAGAAGGACAGTTTTATTATAAAAAGGGAAGGGAAGTAAAGGATGCTTTATGATGCAAGCGGGCCAAAAGAGCTGCTGCTGACAGGGACAGGTTTGTTAAAAGAGAGACCTGCATAGGCCCACGCGGGCAGCCTTGAGAGCGCTGTCTCTGCCACTTTGCAGAGGGAGGTCAGTGAAGAGAAATGCCTGTATAGCCACAGATGGGCAGGAGAGCTGC